CTGGCAGGGCAGGTAGGATTTTGAACCAATTTCCAAGGGAAGTGGGGCTGGCTCCTTCCCTGGGGGGGGGGGGTGTCTTTAAGAGGAGGCTTGACATCTACCTGGCTGGGGTCATTTGAGCCTGGTTCTCTCCTGCCCAGGGCAGGGGGTTGGACTTGAAGACCTACAAGGTCCCTTCCGACCCTACTTCTATGAATCCATGAATCCCAGCAGTGGAGGACTTCCTGGGGTCAGGACTCATTCCTCTCTCTTGGGCTGAGCCCCCTTTACTCAGCCTCTGGCCCAAACTTCAGCCTCAGGCATGTGGAGACATACCTTGGCCTACTCCCCTCACTTGGGGCCCCACACCTCTGCCCCCCTCACTTGGGGTCACAGGGCTTCACTCCTTAGTGGAGTCAGGTGGCTGTAGCTATGCTTGGCCCCACTTCCTCCTTGGGGTCTTACACCCCACAGGGCTCAGGTGACCACAGCCATGCCTGGCCCCAACTACCTCCAATGTTACATAAACCCTAGTCCTCACCTTTGGGGGTGGGTTAAGGCACCCCAACCCACCTTTTGTCAGGGTGGTAACTGGCCTGGCATTTCCTGGGGGCTCCCACACCACTAAGAGCCCCACCAGGCTGCAAGGTGCAGTTTTAGGTCATGCCCAGGACTAGGAGTCTCCAATCCATCCCCTACAGCCCCTGCCCTTACCTCCAGGATGATACATAAAACCTCACATCCAAATAATGCTGCTGTCTGCTCTACCAGTAGTGACCTGCCCTGTTTATATGGGTGGCCAGAGACCTAAAATGGCTGTGGCAATCAAGCACCTGCTGGCTGCTTAGCTCCCGTCTTAAAGTGGCAGGCACCCACAGTGCCCTGCCACAGTGCCCTACACTTGATCTGAGCCAAAAGGTGCTAGAAATACTGATGGCAACCCCACAAGGACAAGTCAACATAAGAGCAGTGACACTGTCCTGAGGGCTTGGAAGCCGTATGAATAGTTGGCGCTAACCAAAGAGCCTCAACCACATGTAGAGCCCCAGGTGAATGCACTTCTTACAAGTGGTAAGCCCCTTTAGTGGATACCAGTGTGTTTGTACATGCATGTTTCAAATGGCCATGCTGCATCATTCCCAAGTCAGGCAGAGCAAAACAGAACACCTTTTGGTATTGCCTGCAGTTCTCTGCAGAAAACGTGAAGTTGAAGAGCCACTTGCAGCTCAACAGACGCAGCGTGAGTATCACCGGAGCATGCTGGCTGCATGTTTTGTGTGGGAAGGGTGAGGACTGCCCCATGTTAGCTCATCCTGGGGGTGGTGACTGATTGTAAGGACTGTCAGCTTTGTGCCTGGCAAAAGACTTAACTGGAGAGGTGTATGGTGGGAAATCACAGGGGGTGTGTTTCAATGCTAGCCAACAGCAAGCACTGAAAAATCATGAGTGAAACCACAAAAATTCCTGAATAGTGTGAAAAAAAGAAAAATTCTGAAACCAAATGAATGCACTGTTTTCTTTGTCTCCTGGTTTCTGAGCCAGCGGGTTATTCTCAGGTCACATTTTCAAACTTCTCTGAAACCACAAGGGCAAGAAACCTCCTTTTCTAAAAATAACTCAGATTTACAAGAAACCCAGGCTTTGAACTTGGCTTTTAACAAAGACCTTGGGCCTAGGAAGGCTTCTGCTGTAAAAGGGCAAAATTTGGGCATCCTCAGTGTAGTGTTTGGAGCTTGCATGCCACATGTACCCATTGTGAATATACCCCTCACTCTGTGGAATGGTAAATATTAAGGATGGGTGCAGCAGAGAGATTTGCAATGCAAATGAATGAGGCAGGTTTCTACATGTGTTACATATTTGTCTGATGTCTGCACTTCATCCTAATGACACCTCTGAACAGAGACATCCTGCATTAGGGTTAGATGTGCCATCCACCCCCTACAAAACATCTTGGCTGTTAATTGTATACCATCCTCTGGTTTTTTTTGTCCTCCCGGTGCACCCAGCTGGCTACTTATCTCTCGGAGGCAGGGATAAGCTGCAGCTGCTTATGAAGGGGGTGGCGCTGCCCAGGGGAGAGTTCATGGCTGAGTGAACATGCACAGGCTGGGCTCCCCCTCCACCCCACACACAACATTAGAGAAGGCAGAAGGGTTGGTGTTGCCTAAGCATTTCTCCATGCTATGCCCTCTCGCCATGCCCAGCTCTGACCACAGGTAAACTGATCCTTCCTGCCAGAGAGCTGGAGGCACTTTAGACACTGCAGGTAAGGAGAGGGTTGCAAAGAACTGGAACCCAAATGAATTTGGGGGTGGAGGCAAGTTTGAGCCATGTTTTGGGGGAGTGTGGCAGGGGGGATTTGATCTTAATGATTTTTAATGGGTGTGGGGCAGGGATTAGTACCCAGTGATTTTTGGGAGTCAGGAGATGTGTTGCAGGAATGGGAGAACTGCAATCATGGGCAGCTGCGGGATGTGGCAGAAGCAATGGACTCCAATGCTTTTGTGGTGGGGGTGTGGATGGCATGTCCCAGCCTCTGCAAGACAAAGAGCCTAGACAAGTTGCTGCCATGCGCTCTGGTGAGGAGGAAGGAAAGGTTGCAGGTGATGGGAGAGCACTGATTGAGTGGGGGTTGGGAGCCCACATGAAACCATTGGACCAATAGAAGAAGGGGGCTGTTCTTTCCAGCATGATCATAGAGGATAGCAATGACATAAGGGAGGTTGGCCCCAGAGAGACCAGAAGGGTAAGGGACCCCCCTCCCCGCAGTGCAGGCCCTGGGGACACTTTGCTGGTACCTCTCTCTTACTATTTATCTGCTGAGATGGATAGGCTTCTGGGACAGATGCTTTCTCTCACTGTCTGTGTAGCACTTGGTAACATGGGGCCCTGATCTCACCTGGGGTCTACAGATGTCTGTTTGGGAGAAAACAATGCTCTCTCCCCTCCTAAATAAACCACAGCAAATTTGGGTACCCCTGATCCTAGCAGAGTACAAATGACGCAGATTAATAAAGCAAAGGGGTGGGGAGGGAATTAAGTACAAATTATGTCCGGGTGTGTGTTAGTGAGAAAAAAACAGAAGCCACCTTTTTTAGGGATCAGAACTCACGGTAGAAGTGATATCTTTTATTAGGCCAACTCAATTTTTGCAAAACAATTTCTTTAATTGCAAGCTTTCAGGCACAAGTACCCTTCCTCGGGCATAGGAGGAAAGATTGTAAAAGTTCTCCCAAGTAGAAATGAAAGTTTGTATTTCACAGGAAAATTAAAGGGGTGGTACAATCTCCTGTTTAGCAATCATAGACCATATACTTCTGAGTAGAGTGTGGAGGAGAAATCTGTGGAGTGTGGCAGCAGTGGTGAAGGCATCTTGCTACAGCTCTGGAGTCTCACTTTGGGCTCCCAAGAAAGGCTGTCCCCTGTTAATCCAGCTGTTTATGGGTACCTGGCATGCAGGCTGAAGTAGCTAGGCCTGATACTGGCCATCTCTTTCTCTGGGGTGCCTCAGCGTGCCTCAACTACACTTGCCCAATGAGCCATTAAGCATGGGCAGAAATCTGTTAGAGGAAAATTTACAGAACCTCCCTGGTTTTGCTGGAGCAGCAAGATGGGGTCAGAGCCACCTGGACTTTATCAAGAAACATCAGCCAATGGTCTTTTTGGGATAAAAAATGAGCCAGAGAGGGGAAAGACAACAAGAAAGCCATGGTAGGGCAGGGAGGGAGGCTGCAAAACTGCTTTAGCATTACAAGAAAAACATTTGGTTTTGCCAAAGCAATGCAGGCTCTGATTTTCTGGTGGGGAAATGCATTCCCTTCAATGAACATTGCCTTAGTAACAGCAAGTCTTCAGGTGTGATGTGCAATGGGACAGCTTGCTCTACCTAGCTTTGTGTTTAATAGGCATCCTTGGAGCCTGGGCACTTAATTAAATAAGTAACCACCATTCTGAGTCCCAGAGTTGTCTGTCACAGTAAAAAACAAGCTTTTAAGAGTGCAAGCTTGGCAGGGACATCCAGAGAGAGAAGGTGTTGGCCCAGTGCCTGCAGGACCGGCTGTCTGCTTTGACAAGGGATGCTGTGGCCTAAGTGATGGCAGAAGATGGGAGCTGTGCCATCACGGGAGCATCCGTGTCAGTCTGTCTCTGCCACCAGGGTGTGATGCGATGAAGCTACTCCTGTTGCTTTCCAGTTAGGGAGTGCCCAAGTCAGCAGTGGGGACTTTTTGCACACCTTAAGGGGAAGGTTGCTAAAGCAGAAGCTACCTTGAGCTGAGCTGGAGCATGCCACAAATCATTACAACCCAGCCCAACCTGTGCTCAGCTCTCTTGCTAGCACCACACCTACTCCCAACCCAGTTTGCATAAAATCCCAGTTAGAGCTCCTGCCCAGGGTCCCTGGGTAAGGCCGGGGAGCAGATGCTAGAGAGCACCCTTCTGGGTAGGAGCCAGGGCTCTAACTGATGGTGGTAAACATGAGGCCCTGCTTGCTGCTGTGATGTTTGACCAGAAAAAATAAAACGATAAAAAATGTTGCCATTGCTTGAACATGTAAAACAGCAAACCCCTCCCAGTGTTCCCTAGAGCTCAGCCGATCTAGGTTCAAAGCCAGATAATAACCTACAGTAAAAAATCTGAAACACGACTTAGAGCAAGCAAAACTCGGCGGCATCTGAACCCCAAGCCTCTGGGCTTGCACGTAGGATGACTTCCAAATCCTTTGGCAGGATCTGAAGCCCCAGGCTAGTGTGCTACTTGTCGGTAGCAGGGCCACATATGGTTCTTGCATGATGAATTTGGACCTGATCTGGCTAATTTGTCCAAGCACACAAAAAGTTTTCCTTAAAAATCAAAAATCTGAAACCCACTTAAGTTAAAAGCCTGTATGTGTACCAAAGGCCCAGGTCCTCCACGGTGTTTAGGAGCCTAGCTCCCATGGGAACCATATCATCAGCACTTAGGAGTCCTTGTCCCATTGCAAATCAGTGAAACTTCGGTTCTGGAATTTATCTGGGAATTTACCTTCCTGAATCACTTAAATGCTTTCTGAAAACATTACCCCTGGACCTATTGGCCTAGTCTGAGGGCCCAAGCCCCTGCCAGCATCTGTTTGCATCAACCTCTGTTATTTTCATTCAGATAATAATATGGCTCTTGACTCTGTGGCTGTTGGAAAAAGCTTCCAAGTACGGCCATGAGCCTGTCTTCCTGAGTCCTGGGTTGAGATGGAGGGCTCCTTCACATATAGGGCAGAATCCATAGAGGCTTAAGTGCCCAAGGTACTAAAAAGCCCTGCCCAGCTGTGCCCTCACTCTTTTGGTGTCTAAGTTTCTACAGCTGGGCATGTGCAGTGCTCGGCATCCTGTTACCATCAAGCCACTTGCAGCCTCAGGTCATGTCTCAGCCTTGGCATATGGGCCCGGATCCAAAAGATGTTGTCAGGACATGCCTGTTTGGCCAGGCCTTGGACAAAACCACTGGTCAGCAAAGTCAGTCTCTTGCTTCTC